AATCAGATTATAAATCGACCATATACATCTAGCATAAAGCAGTAAATAATCACATCAATAAAATAAATGAAATTGAAATTTAGTAAATATTTCGATCGTTCGATAAAAAAAGCATAACTAAAGTCTATGAAAAATCTAATAAAAGTTAAACTAATTTCAAAATAAATTTATGAAGAGAAAATCTAAACTACAATTGTTTAATAAGAAAAATAACAAATTACATAAATAAAATACATGGAATCACCAAATCCAATGAGTTCCTCCCTTACTTCTCTAAATTGTTTAGTTTTTCATGGAGTTCTTGAGCCAAAAGATAAGAGAAAAGTGTATGGAAGCGTTCTCAATATATATTATGTTATTAAGTATTTGTAGGAGTCAAAAATTGGATGAAAATCATGTCCAAATTGGTTTCCGAAAGAGTTCCAATCGAATAAGGAAAGTTGCTTTCGCGCACGAATTTTTTGTCTCTACACAGCAATCAGTATTTTGGTCATAACTTTCTCTCTCGATATCCAAGCGATTCAAAGTAAGTTGACAATATAACTCAAATGGCTACAACCTGGATAGAAATAGATTTCTTCCAATTCAAACGTTTACTATGCCAAAAATGGGTCTCAATTTTCAACTAAAAATCTGGAATGTAACTTGTACTAATTGGAAATTGATTTTGATAATATTTTAATCATATTCCATTCCTTTTTGAGTTCCAATTACATCTAATTGTCCCCGATCAATTTTCAAAGTATCATCTTGTGGTCCGAATCAACTATTGAGTATTTGCAATTTGGTCTTCAAACTTTCATTTTTTTCATTTTGGTCCATTTTCCTTATTTCTTCCCAATTTCGCTACATTCATCATGTTGTCCGGCAAAATATAAATTGCATATAATTAAATCATATTCCAACATATTAACTAACAATATCTCATGTTTTGACAGTAAAATAAATGTGTAAAAATGCACTTATCCTACCAATATAACACTCCACCACAATCACCACTGTCACACTACCACCATTTCCACTATCAACCCAACAACCAACCAAATCACCAACGCCAAAACTCCTTTCTTCAACCTCTAAAAATCCATTACAAAACACCAACTTCCGGCCACCATGGCTGCCGGATTCCACCACCAATAAACTCCCACCTTCAACCTCTATAAATCTTTTACAAACATCAGCCTAAAGAACAATCAGACAAAAAATTGGCTTCAAAATCGCAAGCAACGCAAGGCCTCCATCCAAGTTCCTGCCACTCCGGCGACACCTACGATCGCTAACCACCACCAGTAAACTTTGTACCTGATTTTAGAATTGTCATCTTTAAATACCTGCTATGGTATAATTTCCACTATGGCGAACACGACATCATGGGTCTTTTGCAATCTTGCCCATCTAGTCTTAAATCTCAAGCCTCAAGGTAATTTCTCAACTCTTATCCATGATCTCCAATTCTTCTCTAATCTCATCCAAAATTGAAGCCATTTGTATTTTTGAGATTAATAATGTAAAATTTATGACTTGGTTTTTGCTTAATTAGGTCAGATTTAAACTTGCATTTTATAAAAATCTAATTTGCTCATTGCGCTTCTATATTGAATTTTAGTAATGTAAACTATTTGTCTTTGATTTGGGTCAAAGCAAAAAGAGATTTAAGAATAGGTTTGGGTCGATTTGGTTTGGCATTTAACCAAACAAACTTGGTTGGTTTTGACCAAAAAAGACTAAACCCAAATCATGCCCAACTCTACTTCTAAAAACAATAAGTTTCATTAGTTGAATTTACCAATAACCAACGTATAGTAGAAGGAAATAGAACTTGGAAACAAATCCAAACATAGATGAATATAGACAGTACATGATTCATAATTCAAAAGAAGTGTTTTTCAAATTATGTCTTCCACCTCACAAGTTATTACTACCCGCACTACAGACATTCAAAAGACAAAATTTTAATAAAGTTTATTTATTAAAATAGAAATTATTTCAAATGACAAAGTATGATGTGATAACGAACCACTCTACTCGTTTTATTAAAGTCATGAATACTTTATTAAAGTTGGTGCAATAATCAAATTTTATGGTAGATAGCTTCATTCAAGAAGTATTCAAGATTATTTCAATAGGGTTCAATGAAAATTTCAAATCCAGATTTCAAGTATAAAAAAAGATCAAGATTCAATCTCTCGATAAGAGTTTTTTAGCGGGAGAAAAAACTACTTCAAAATACTGAGAAATATTCCTTGTAATTTCTAAATTTTTCTTTACAATAGTTTCCATTCAAAGTCTTGTAATTTCAAATTCAATATTTCTTCAATAAAATACATATTTTTATCAAAATATGTATTTTATTAAATCACCGTAAACCGTGGTTGAAACAAAAAAGTAGAATACAATTCCTCGCTTGTGGACAAGTACTAAAAGCTAATGATATAAGAGAAGCAATAATGTAGGCAACTTTATTTTGCTCGCACCAAATAAGCTTGCACGGTCTTCAATTTTTATGATGCAATAGAGAAGTAATTTCCAAAACGACTAATGCATTAGGGGACAAATGAACCTCTAAACACGTGTGTCTACCCATGCCTATAAAGAACTTCTAGAGAGCCACCGGGTGATCATCGCTAGACTTTCTTTAGGCTTAAACCTTGATGCCGCATGTCCTGCACCCTGGAAAAAAAAAAAAAAAACTTTTGTTTCTTGTTTTTCTTCAAATCATTGTAAGAAATGATACATTCAAACATTTCTTGCCTTGATTGTCGCAAATGTGAGATAGAAGTTATTTTTCTTGTACTTCTCTGTGTACCTACAAGGAGTAAAGTACATTGCAATTTTTTTAGAATATACTATGAAATATGTATATATAATCATCAAGAACAAGAAACATACCCTGCAACTTGTCCATTAACAAGCCAAGGTCTCCAATTGTCATCAATAGTTAGATTAAGAATGGGAATCCAATTTAAAGGACCCATATATGGTGCGGCCATGTCATGATCACCACTGGAAATAAAAGCAGCACAATTAGACTACATATACCTACATAGTTGTATAGTTACATTTTTTTTTTTTATGCTCTTCCATTACTTGTAAACCAACAAATATACTTCGTTGATCGATTTGATTAAACTTTGAACAAATTAAGTCCCAATTTCTATTTAAGAAAGAAACTAATATAACTTACTTGAATACCAAAACATTGTATCCTTTCTTGGTGAAATTTTTATGATATTCAAGAGCACTTTCTACATTCTTTTCATAGGATATTCCATAATAGCACGTTTTCCACCTTTTTATCATTTCCTGGTTCAAATCACGAGATTACTATAAACATTTTGATCATATATAATGGGACACATTCTAAATCTTTAATTTTTTTTTTCTATTTATCGTACCTTTCTAACATAAAGAGCTTCTTGAACAGTCACATCATTTGCCCAATAATCAGATACTGTATAATCGATATCCTGTACAAAAGAAACCTATTCGTGAGAAACTGAGCATGCAGGACTAAGATAAAAAAAAAATAAAAAAGAGGAAGAATTTTTTCTTTAGTGACAAAGTAAGTATTAACTTAATTTGTAGAAAAATAAATTTTAACCGAATGTGTACGGATATATAAATAGAGTAATTAAGTTACATGGCACTTTTGTTCTTCTGTAGGGAGGATAAGAAGGTCAACTGAATTGTCTATCTGAAATGTTTGATTCCATCCAAAATCATCTGGTTTTGGTGTGCTGTCATCACATTTTGGATACAAAATGTGAACTTGGTTTATATGACTTAGACACTGCAATGTTTTATGATCAAATGGAACTTGTTTAGTGTTTTCAATCATAATAAACGCTGGAAATGAAATATAAAATAAAATAAGATGCAAAATGTTACCTCTTGGATCCGTTTAAGGGCATTAAGACATTGTAAATTATTTGGATCACGATTATAATATTTTCCATCACAGCTAATTTTTGCTAACTGAAATTACGTCAATTAATTACAATGAGTACAATATACAATATGTTGTATTTTATCATCAAAGTAACTGAATAATAAAGATTACCTCATAATGTTCATTAGATATAAGTGCCATGCCATGAGCAAATGGAATTCGTGCATTAAAATCAATGTTTGGATCTGTTAGTCCGTTGCCGATAATGTATCCCTATTTCAATTACAATAGTACTCAACCATCAACACGAAATATATATGTTATAGTATTAGGAGAAATTCGTATATTCGTGTGAGCTAATCAATACTTGGAAGGACATTTGTGGTTGAAGTCGTGCTTTGTTTCCTGCATTATAATCAAGAATAACAGCTCAATCAAGCTTGGTTGGTTGGTTAATAAGAAAATATTGAAATAAAATCTTTTTTAGTTTTTTTTTTCCCATATATACCTCTTAGTATTTCCATGGAAACCATGGGAGCAAGTTTGCCACCATATGATTCACCCGCGATATATAGATGATTTTTGATAAACACGGGATGATTCAATAACCACTACACAGTATTATTCGCAATACATTGTTAGTTCACTAACCCAAAAATAAAGCGAGGAGTGCATATAGGTGCGAATGTGTAAGGACTACTAGTAAGTTCAACATAATACTTCATTTCTATAGCCTCAATTTCCACCTATGAATAAAATATCTATGATAAATAATGTCAACCTACCTTCCTAAGAAATGTATAAATATCTTTTGTTGATTGGATGTCCGATGGATAGTAATCTTGTGAAGTGTTTGCATATGAAAACCCAGTACCTACAGGCGAATCTATGAATATAATATTGGCAACCTGAAAATAATATAACAATATTATAAAGTTAGAGAACTATGGAAAACATACAAACATATATGACTTGAAAAATGCATGGAATGAGAGACTTTTCTACCTTAGTCCACGAATTTGGATTTAGGAGAATAGATGGTAAGCTTCCATCAAAATTGTCAACATCAAAAGTACATGGACCTACACACAAGCTCATCAATTAGTGTGAGAATAGTAGAAGTTAGATTATGAATAATAACTCGAGTTATCAAAATAATAATATACAATTTTAAAGGGCTTTAAAAAATTTTAAAAATACAAAGTTAAAAAATGTACTTTTTGCGAGTAAGTTGAGGACAAAATTATAACTAAATATGTTTTTAAATAATTTTTTGCACTTATAAATATAAAAATTTATTAATAAATAAAAACTCACTTATAAGAAAAATATTATGTATGAATAAAAAATTCACTTATAAGTATAAAATTACTTATAGCTAAAAAGTTCACATTTAAATAAAAGATTGCTTATAGGTAAAAAATTGCTTATACATAGAAAATTAAATATAACTTAAAAAACCATTTATAAGTAAAAAAATCACTTGCAAGTAAATTCAATTGTAAGCAAAAATACTTGGAAGTGAAAAAAAAAAAAATCACTTTTGAGTAAATTTACGTATAAATAAGAAAAATAATTTAGAAATAAAAAATATGTAATATTTTTATGCACATTTTTCTAATACGGTGTATCACCAAAAGCTCTATTAGAATAGTACGTCATATTTTAAGTTAATCATATCATCCCTAATCGTATCTTGCCTAATTCAATATGGGGTACAAAACATACTCTACTAATTTCTTCCAGTTCGTTGATAAAATATCATGTATGTCCATCTAAACAAACAAACCATGAAACACAAACATTAGGCTCCAACATTTTTCTCACTCAATTGTATGCCTCTTTCAGGATCATCAAAACACATGTATATATCTATATGTTATGTATATACATTAAAATATGTATATTATTTATTGGGAGAGATTACCAATATCATAAACGACGCCAAATAAACCAGAACAACCAGGTCCACCGGTCATCCAAAGCAAAAGAGGGTCAGTGTTAGGATTGTTTTCGGACTCAATAAAATAGTAGAATAGTTGTGCTTCATCATTTTCTCCCACGCCAATGTATCTAATCGATCATTTGAACATAAAAACAAAGTTAAAATCTTGTCGACCGTCTATTACTACGTATCTAAAGGAAAACAAGGAATAAAAGAACTAACCCAGTTTCGAGTTTGAAAGGAAGAGTACCCTCATAACCCGGAAGAGTCTTGATTATTGCTTGTGATGCTCCATTGTTGAAGAGTAGTAGTAGAAGAAGGAGAAGGAGAAGAAGTCCATACAACCCCGTCCAATTCAT